CCCACGTTCTCCTGACCTACTGACTGCTACTTGTTCCTCATTCTTGCTCTGTCCATGCAATGACCCAACCTGTTCCTATCTCTCTGCTCTCCCTTCCGCCTGTAGTTGATTTAAAACAGATTGTATTTTATTTGCAATTCAATGAACAACTTGCATAAAATTAAATCTGTTTTCCTCTGGAGTGTAGAGGTTCTTCTAGGAATTGCTTTAATTTATGAATTAGTCAGGAGAACACCTGTTTAGGTTCATCATAGTTTTAGCATGAAAAATACAGATTAAAACTTTTCATGGGATGTTAATTTTTCCCTCTCATCAAGCTGTGAAAATTAGGTTGAGAGACACAAAAGGGGAGAATCCATATATCAATGGGTGTTAATCAGATGATACTTTCAGTATCACTTACAGAAATGACAGTGACGCTGATTAAGGGAACCTTAATACCAGAATGGGTGCCATCCAGGTTTCCTCACACAGAGATAGCTGCAGTGGCCTCAAAAACACCAGAGGTTTTTCTAGGTGTAGGGGGAAATGGTAGAAGGAATAACGGGGTAAAGGACTTGTGGCTCATCTACTGTCAGAAATGTAGCATTTCTTGAGTACAGCAAGGAGGAGGGTCACCTGATCTCCCTAAGGTTCTCTATACAGTGGTACCTCAGGTTACATATGCTTCAGGTTACATGCGCTTCAGGTTACACACTCCACTAAGCCAGAAATAGTGCTTCACGATAAGAACAGAAATCAGGCTCCGGCGGCGTGGCAGCAGCAGGAAGCCCCATTAGCTAAAATGGTGCTTCAGGTTAAGAACAGTTTCAGGTTAAGAACGGACCTCTGAAACGAATTAAGTGCTTAACCCGAGGTACCACTGTAGTTGAACAAAGCAGGCACCATAGCAGAAGGCTGGGAGCAAGGCCTGTAATTTCTTTTGCAACCACAGAAGTAAAATATGTGCATTGTGGTGTTTTTAATGCTGTTATAAATGTTATTATTATTAACAACAACAGCATAACATAAAATACGGAAGAGGGAAAAAGCTGTACAGCCCCAGATCATATTTAAGATGCCTTGAAGGCAATATAGTCTCATCTTTCTCCTGCAAGCAAAATTCCACAACCCATGGTACATCATTAGGCTGTGGCATTTAAAGCATCTTGTGGCACAAAAACTGGAAAGAAAATAGCATGGTTCCATGCACTGGCAGAGGAAGAGGAGTGGGGGGGGAGTGCACCGCCCCCGGCAGCACGATCCCGGCAGGGTGCCATCGCGGCTGCCCCCCCATCCACGCTGGGTGCCCCACCACCGCAGGCAGTGTGCCACGCCCCCAGGACACATGCCATGCACCTGTGGGCAACACGCCCCACCCCTGCCTGCTCTCTGCCCCACCCCCTGGTGCCGGAGCATGAAGCTCTGCCACTGGTTCCATGATATATCCACCCCAAATTGCTTCTGTAAGAAACTATGGAATACATCTGAGAAGAAAAGAAAAAGGAAAGCTGCATAAAGTTTGAAGGTGGACTGAAGAATTTACAGTAGGCAAGATGTCCGGCAAGATTCACTCCACAAGTCTTGTCTGTGGAAGCCTTGCACGAGCACTCTGCCCAATGGGGCTTTATTAAATGCTTATTAAGTTTATACCCCTCACCTTCCTCCAGAAGAGTCCAGGGCAACAAACATGTCAATCCTAAAACAATTCATTTAAAACTTCTAAAACAGTTTCAAATTCCTCATTTGTGCTGTGATCTTTCTTGGAATCGAGAAGTGAATTCCTACTGTTTTAAGCAATCACCACCTCTCAAACCGATAACTGCAAACTTGCCAAGGACAGAACTTTCAACCATCAAATGCCTCGGTAAACAGGAATGTTTTAAAAACGTTCCCCAAAAGTGAATAGATTGATGCACCTCACTAGGGAGGGTGTAGCAGAAATGTGGGGCCTGCAGTGAGAAGGTCCTGTCACAAGTGTCATGGCTCACCACCAACCAGGCAACTCTCAATGTTTGCATCACCAGCAGGGCCTCCCTACACTTTCAACTGTATATGGAATCAATTCTGCTTCTAAATTTTTGCATGGTGCAATGCTCTGCAGTACTAATGTACTTCGTATAGTATAGCCCAGCCTTTCTCAACCTGGTGCTCCCTAAACATTTTGGACCACAAGCCCTATCAGTCCTAGGCAGCCTGGCTAATGGCCAGGAATTATGGGAGTTGTGGTCCAAAACACATATAGAGCACTAAGTAGAAGGCTGGTGTAGCCCCTACTTTGTGGAGAGTCAGAGCCTCATTGACTGAGGTCTACACAGCAATAAGGTCACACATGTAAAACACAAGAGAAGAGCAAAGTATTCTGCCTGATCGTCTAGATAATCTTTGCATTGCAAAACGCAGAGAATGGATATTAGAATGGTAGACTCTCTGCAGTAAATGAGAGTGCTAATGAGCAGTTTAGTTCCAATCCTTGGGGATATGCCAGAGCCCCGAGAAAAATATATTGTGTAGCAAAATTTCAAAATAAACAGCCTCGATCATTGTCAGTCAGCTCTTATTAGCTTAAGCAGCCCTTCCACCCTTTTCTCCGCAGGGAAGAAAGCATTGCGGCAAGAACATCATGTCCCCTTTTGCACTCCAGGTTTGGCTAGGTGTCTCTCGTCTCTAGTATCAGAACACCAGCGAGCAGCATTCAAGCTTTTTTTGTCTGATGCTTGTGCAAACAACCGTAGTTCCCAGTCAGATGATGGTGCCAGCTGCCTTTCAGCATTGCCATGGAAATTTTTAGAAGACAGGCATAACGGCATGTGCTTCTCCCATCCCTGTCTCAAAATGAAATATGCAGTCCTATATGATTTGATCACCTCCCTCGATCTATACGGAGATTCTCCTGCCTTTATCCAGACAGTGTTTGCGGTTTTGCTTTCATTGTGGACTTCCAGGAGGAGAGATGGCAGCACCTTTGTTCTCTTGAAAGTCCGTAAGCACACAAATCAACTCAGATCACTTATATAACCTTCAGTGGATAACATTTACCAGCAAAATGCTGGTGGTTCTTCCTAAAGATCAGTTTAGAAACCAACTAAATACACTAGAAAACTAATTCTCTGCAATACATATAAAAACATATGTGCTATCTTGTTATTTTCTTTGTATACTTTCTGGCTGGATATTGGGATATAGAGATGTTGCAGATGAACGACAAAGAAATCGCTCACAGAACTGCATGGCCAGGGCCAGATCATTCTCTGGCTCAAGGGAGAGCCGAACCAGTTGAAGTTAGCTACATATGTGCAAGCCCAAATTTTGGTGGCCCCCAATGGATCACCTCCATTTTGCACCCCCTAGGCTCAGCAAGCTGGGGGGGGGACCTAAACCTGACACTGTCACTGCCAGAGACCCAAGGGGACTCTGCTGATTGCCTTCTTCCACCTTCCCACCAGCCCCACAACAGGCACAAATAAGACAGGGGGCCACTAAGTAGAGGGTTTGGCTTTCTTGCTGTGAATAAAGAAACACTAACCAAAGGAACACAAGTGAACAGCAGAGAACCTGCACAAGCAACGCTGACACAAAACCCTACATATATTAAGTAAAATCAAAACATCGCCACCCGACCCCCACCCCCACCCTTCTTTCCCCCCCCCACCTCTTTCCCCCTTTTCTTCCTAATGTCTCAACAAATGAAACCGATTTGTAAAAATGTTACATGAAAAAAAAAATGAGAGAGAGACATTGCACACACTTTTGTAAATCAAGAAAATATTTAATAAACAAATAAATAAAAATAATAAGGAAACACTGTTTTGTCCCCTTACTACATGACCACCCTCCAAAGTCAGTATTAAGGTGCTACCTCTCTGACTGGTGTTTTACAAACCAACTGCTTTTCTTTAGAAGTTCAGCTACTCTGATATGCACTGACAGTTTGCATATATGTAAATCAATTAGTCTGTGCACATTTGCAGATGTATATTTCCTTTTTTATTTTTTATTAATTTACTAATGCATCTGGTAGACTCTCACCCATGAAAGCTTATGCCATAATCAATGGGTTTGTCTTCAAGCCCTTTGTTGTTTTTGCTGCAAGACTCTAAAGGGGCTGCCCTTTTAGAAGTTGTTTTTTCATGGGGATCCTTTTCCTTGTTTCATCTTTTATCTTTCCCAGTGAGACATTATATTAGAACACATATGCCTCCTCCCTGCCAAATGGCTTGCTTGCTACCTATTACGGCACCGTAAACCCACAAAACAATAACAAAATTGTATTGGCTGCAATTCATGAATTGAATTATCATAAATGTTTTCCCAGTAAATGGAGAGCACAATCCAGAACAAGCTCAATGCAATGACCATAAGCCAGTTCCTTTTAAAATGCTGTAGAAACATTAGTTAATCCAGACAGCATTTTTCAAATGCTTTTCTCCCACAAATAAGACTGCAAGATCTGCAAAGTTGTGCCAAAATGCTCTTTGCTGCAAGATTCTTGGGTCCGCCTGCACATGAACTGGTAAGTTAATCCGTTGTATTGTAAATGAGATTCCGCTCTTTGTTTGCTGAATGAGTGGCGTGGAGGAGACACCCAGTGTGCAACACACTTGTCATAATCGTCCTGACCCTCAGAACAAGTCCAGAATTGCAGGATTGGGGCTAGTACAGGACACCTTATAGCGTGGCTTCATCCTTCAGAAGATGACAGGCAAAATCTGACAACAGAATGTAAGTGGCTGTGGCTAAAGCTGAAAATAGCATTTCATTTTAGCGTGCCTCATGGATGGTTCTTTTCTTCTAGCTACCTGATACCTGGGGAAGTGAGAAAGGGGCCCAAGGAAATCAGTTCTTTCTCCTGCTCTTCAGCATATTATTAGAGTGTATTTGCTAGCTAGGCAGGTTTTCATTGTGTTAGCAGGAACAGAGGACTCCCACACAGACCTCTGTGACAGCAATCTCGTTTAAAAAAAAACAACAGCCCACCAAACCATACCCATTCCTCCTTCACTCATTATGTAGTCAGCCAGACAACTGGAGCTGAAAAGACAATCTTGGTCTCTGTATAGCTTGGGATGGGTTTCAATTCCATGCTAGCCTGCACAACTTGGTTTTAAGAGGTAAGCAAAAGTCACTTTTTCCAAAGCAACTTTGTACCTTCATTTCTGTGGAGGGATGGAGAGAACGAAAGCTTGTTTTGGGGCAATATAGTGATCTGGAAATATATAAGATAGATGAATGAATATCTATAGGTAAGCAACCAAACCCCCACCAGTAAATACTTGCTGGCCTTGGTAACATATGAAAAATTCAATTCAGTTGAGGGGACGGGGGTCTTCCACTTTTCCTTCTCTCGTCTTGCCTTCTCTTTCTGGTCCTGCCCAGTTCTGCTACAACTTGCTTCTCCTTGTCTCCTGATTAGTAGGAAGCTGGCATACAAAGTGTGAAAGTGGGCCGGCAGTGAATGGGTCTGATGGTTTGAGGAGGTCGCAGTTGCACCGGGACTGTTGCTGTTTACTGAATTTTTGCAGAAAGTGAACAAAAATGGATGGGATATCTATGTAGGGGAGGAGATGTGGAGAATGGGGAAGTGGGAATAGTTTGTTTTCATATAGAAAATAAGTATTTAATAAAATATTAACCACAAAACCAGCTTCCTGTTGGAAATCACAGACAAAAAATACAGACCTTCATATTATGAATGATGAATAGCAACATATTTGAATAGCTTTGCTTTCTCTTGCTCCAAACAGATGTTCATACAACTTGCTTCTCCTTGTCTCCTAATTAGTAGGAAGCTGGCATGGGCCGGCAGTGAATGGTTCTGAGGGTGAGAGGAGGTCATGGTAGCACGGTTCATATTATATTATTGTGTGTTTATTTTGTTCATCTGAGTATTTAAATCCAACCTTTCAGTCCTGACTTCTCTTAAACATCAAAAAATCTCAAACACCCATAAACCCTTAATAAACAATAATCCCATGGAGAGAGCACCAAAAACAGCAGCATTAAATCAATCAAGGCAAATACAGAGTAAATGCAATATTTGTTAGAGGCCCAAATCAGACTTTTTACAAAGATATACGGTACAAGACTAAACATGAAGCAACTCCTATTTAATTCAATGGGGCTTATTGCCAGGCAAGTAGGCTTACAATTGCAGTCATAGTCTAGTGGGATGGTTTAGCTTACATTATATATGCTGCTCTATTATTGATCTTCTGTGATAGTTTATGACTGAATTGCATGCAGAATGTGGATTTTTTTTAAACTTTGAAAATAGATAAAGGCACAGAGTTAAGTTCTCCTCACCCGTGCATAGCTCTCAGTTCCCTCTTCCACACTTTTCAGAGCTGGCTTTTTAAAATAGTTAACATTAACACATTGTTTTAGTGGTGTAGCTAGTATTGTCGCCAGTCTTGTAAATGCTTCGACGTATATTGAAATGGCAGCACACCATCTCATCATGGTGACAGTAAATGTATTTTTGAAGATTTTGTTCAGGATGGATTGAAACACTTGTTTCAACCCATTTAAGTGAAAATAACAGAAAGTATCTCTGTCAGTGAAGAGGGTAGGGATGCTTGGGGTAGAGATCAATGTCAGTTATTATTGATGAGGCAGGGGGAGAAAACCATACTAAAGCCATAGGTTTGATGGTATGATGAGGAACAGAGCTTCAAACAAATCTGTCCTTGCAAAATTCCTTGCCGCATATCATCCCTCTTGAAAACCCAAACACTCTCTAGAAATTCTGTCTCTGTAGTAGGAACATAGGAATCTGCCTTATAATGAGACAAACCAATGGTCCATCTAGCTAAATACTGTCTGCGCTGACTAGCAATGGTTTTCTAAGGTTTTCTGACAGTGGTCTTTTCCAGCCCTACCTGGGCATGCCAGACCTGAGACCTTCTGCATGCAAACAGGTATTCTGACACCGAGCTATGGCCTTTTATATGGAAAACTATATGGTGGCCCGCTGATAAACAGGTTCTTAAAATTTTGTCTGCAGTTGAGTGGTGTGGGTTTCTTGTTTGTCCTTAGTACTGAATGTCCTTAGTACATTCAATGATGTGTGTTTTACACTCCCTTAAATCCTGTAGATCTCCAACTGCAATCTACAAAAAAGGCTTCCCCCAGTTACCTCCTCACACCTTGTGCAATAGTTGAGCATTGTGCCTGTTTCTTCATGCTATATTTGGCACTAGTTTGATGCAATTTGTTTCTTAAATTAGATTTAATGATGATGCTTCCAGCAGACAGTTCCCTTGGAATGAAATTAATATCGGTGCTGCTATTTATTTATTTTTAACAAGCATCTCTGTGAGATTCACAGATAATATATGTTTTGTTATTAGTTTTTTGAAGCCTATCCTATTGGTCAGGATTGGGCTGGCATTAGCACCCAAAATGGCTAGCAAAGTGCTGGGGTCCATGGGCTCCACAGGGACTGCCACAGCTCATGCCAGGATTGATTTATTTAAAAAGGGTGGCAGAGTGACCTCCCCTCCCCTTTAAGTACTTTCACTGAAAGGAGTGTTTGAGTTGTTCTTGCTCCCCTCTAATCAACCTTCTTTTTGTAGAAGCACCACTTAGCTCCTGAACATGATAAAAGTCCAACCCCAGCCCCTGATAAGTGGAGTTTCATAGAAGACTGGTCCAGACCATCAATCATTTTATTTCTATGCCACCTTCCCAAAGCCCAAACCATGCTCAAGGAGGCCCATATAGTATTATTCCCATCCTTCTCACAAAATGGTGTAAGGGAATACAAATTTTTCCCCTCCTTGCCTCACCATCACTCTGGACACTTTGAGTACTTGGGTCAAGTAAAATGTCTTCATTTTCTAATGTGGCTATTGTGGTAAAGTGACTTTTTTCTGAGTGGGTTGCACTATACAGCTCCTTGCCAAGGGCACGAGGGACCCTGGGTATGCCTCTGGGTGATGGCCATTAACTTGAATGGCTTTAAAAGAAGATTGGAGAAATTCATGTAGGAGAGTCCTATCAAAGGCTACTGGCTATGATGGCTACGCCCTGCGTGCACAGTTGGAGGCAACAATGCTTCTGAATACTAGTTGTTGGAAACCATAGAATGGAAGATGGCTCTTGTGTTCATGTTCTGCTTCACACAGGCATTTGGCCAATGTGAGAACAGGATGCTGGACTAGATGGGCCATTGGCATCATCATCATCATCACTTTTAATTCGTATACAGTGGTACCTCGGGTTACAGACGCTTCAGGTTACAGACGCTTCAGGCTACTGGCTCTGCTAACCCAGAAATAGTACCTCAGGTTAAGAACTTTGCTTCAGAGTGAGAACAGAAATCACGCGGCTGCAGCAGGAGGCCCCATTAGCTAAAGTGATGCTTCAGGTTAAGAACAGTTTCAGGTTAAGAACGGACCTCCAGAATGAATTAAGTTCTTAACCTGAGGTACCACTGTACCGTCTTTCTATCTTACAATACTCAAGGCGGTTTACAAGCTGAAGAAACAAAGAAAGTACACCTTATAACAACTGAATACAATACAAAAATATGATAATAAAACGTAACTTTAAAATAAGCAACCTACATCAAATTAGGTAACATTCAACAACCATTAGAATATCAGCATATAAAAATTAAACAGAAATCTACACTTGACAATTACAAGAAATAATTTCTAAACTACAATCAATAAAACAACGTCAAGCCACAGTTCATAAAATAATACAATGCAAATGCAAAAGCAGAGACTGGAGGGTGGGGCAAGGCAGGTGGAAAGAGGCCTTGCCTGATGAGGTCTCTCCCCTCACAGTTCTTCCTCCAGCCACAGCTCCCTTTTGAGGACTCCTGGGGCAGGAGGTATACAAATAATGATGATTTTTAAAAGTTTAGATTCTTTTATATCAGGGCTAAAAGATACATATCAGCTTTTTTATATATAAACCCCTGGGGAAAAACACTCTCCTCAGTGGAAACATGGTCATCATGATGGTGTTGCTGTCTAGCTGAACAGGAAGTGGAATTCCAGCAGTTATTTCCCATGTGAAACAGAAGTGAGATGCCATCAAGGCCTATCTAGAAATGGTTTGCTGCCAAAACTAGTTGGGCTGTACCCTGATTGCCTCTGCTTCTTAAGCAGATGTTCCTATTTCTGACATCTTTTGATCATGTTTCCGTATGTTTGTTACTGTCGCAGAAACCTTATGCCTGCACTCTGCAAGCTCTTATCGTCGCTTGTTTCACCCCACCTTTTTGTGGTACAAGCTGTATAAGTAATTTAAATCACCTCCTGGCAAAATTGCTGTTACTTAAAAAGAGAATAGCAAGCAAGTGGGAGGTAAAGTCAGATAAAGAGCGACCTCCGGAGATTTATGATGAATCTACGCTAAGGCAGGAGAAGGCTGTGCACAGAAGTCAACGCTTTGTAACAAGGTAAATAAGGTGTCCTAATTAGTTAAATAGATGATAGTGTAAATCACCCAAGAAAATCAATGGGGAGGACAAATGGATTTTAGGAAGCTAAGTCACTGAACAGTTAAATGGTGGAAGTAAATACTTAAAAGTGGAACAAATAATTGAATACCCTTGACATTTTTGTTGCCTCCAAATTCTTCCTAAAGATCAACACGATCTTTGTCTCAGTTACACAAAAAGTAAGTATTCTGTAATCCACATATAAGTTTGGAAAGCTGTCCTGATAACAAAGGAACCACATTAATATAAATGTATCATGTGTATGTTTGTGTTTGTGTGACAAGCATATATATATTGCTGCAATGAATTCACCACCAACTTTGTAGTCCCAATTGGTGGAGTCCAGAATAAATATTTTATTGAGTGTTCACCCTGATTTGTTTGCACAAGGTTTGCAGAGTGGTTATGTGACATCTACTGTTGACTGAGCTTCCATTCTGATTTGTTTGCAAGGATGATGTTTTTTTAAACAGTTGCTATCGCAGGTGGTGCTGTGGGTTAAACCACAGAGCCTAGGGCTTGCCTATCAGAAGGTCTGCGGTTTGAATCCCCGCGATGGGGTGAGCTCCTGTTGCTCAGTCCCAGCTCCTGCCAACCTAGCAGTTCAAAAGCACATCAAAGTGCAAATAGATAAATAGGTACCTCTATGGCGGGAAG